AGACGCTCTTCGTTCCAAAGCAAGTGGATAGACGGTCAAGTCGCGCAGCATTACCTTCCGATTGGAGTTTGATCGAGCCAGATGAGGAAGTCAGCCGTCCAATGGGCAATATGTCTCCAGGTGTAGACAAGCTCTCACGCCCGCGACGCTTCGTTGGTTCAGTGTCAACGCCATCGCTGAGTATTTCAACCCACCACATTTGTGTCGTTCCCCGACCACTCCAGTGCCGGAGGTTCTCACTCGGACTTTACCTCGGTGTTCGGTGCTTTCACAAAATGCTTGCTGGTCACTGGAGCCGTCGTAGATTCCAGCCGCTTTCTACATCGAGACAGTTGTTGTTGGAAGTCATCTCGCCTTTACACGCTCTGCTTCGCTACACTTTGGCGACTACTTATAGCCTCAGTTTTGCGTTTATCGACATCCAGAAACCCTTCAGTTCGTTTTCACGCGACAACACAGTATCTGCCGGGGCGTTTAGAGCCCTTCGATACATCCGACAGTCCTATGAGAATGCTGTAACAGTTTCCCGAAATTCGGAGGCTCACTGCCGCGGAGAATTGTGGTAAGCCATTCCACCCTCCGCGTTATTGCTCACCATGGCAGTGAATGAAGTTCTTGGATTGTCGGTGCCGCAGCTGGGCTACCAGTTCCGTGGTTAGGTTCCCGATACGGAAATTTAAGTGACGCGTAGGTTCAGCAATCCCGAATATCAAGGAGAACAATTGTGTACTGTTTACACGACGAACCCCAATTGGCGTTCGTAGCGTCAGCAAGCGTCAACATGTCTGTCACTGGCCCGCACAGTGCAGTGTCAACGTCCGCACACCACCGCACGGCGGTGAGCGGAACGTTGGCTCAGTAGTGGGGGCTTGCGGTTGTCCATTCCAAGGGCAGTCTCGTGATTCTCACACGGAACTCATGAGAGAACAAGTCACATGGCTAAGTGGGTCAACTGCGCACGTGCACACACACACACGCTTATTCAGTGTCCGACGGTAGGGCCTTTGCAGGAGGTGGGTGGCGAGTGCGGACGAGCAAAACAACTGGAGTGCACAGATAAGTACATGGGCGGAGTAGGTAAATGGATGAGGGAACGATCATAAGGTCAAGTTAGGTTCAGTATCCCGTGATACCTCAATGGATGTCTTTTTATCTCCGCTGGTGACTGGGTCGTGTGTGGCTAAGGTCAAGATGACCTTAAACAGAAACCTGGAGCTGCTAAAAGGACCGGCGACACCTGAAAGGTCAAACTACTGGTGATTTGTAGGGACAGAGCAAATCGGGTGACCGCCGAGGAACTCTCCGCTTGACTGACACCGTGGCCTATTTGGGCGTCCCCTTTACTTTCAAGGGGAAAAGGAGTCTGCAACCACCGAAAGTAGCTGTTGAAAAGCTGTCGACGAATTGACACATGCCCCGTTGAGATAACGGGAAACTATCTGATACGGATTCCCTCGTACTCCGCCCAATCTACCGAACCCCCCGACAGTCTGTTTGTGGCTGGCTACATCTACCGCCAGACCCGTAAATCAGTTAGATCCACGCCGGTACACAACATGGAAGACTCGGTGCCTGAGTTTGACCGTCCCGAGGCAACGAAAGACGGTCTCATCGATGCGTGAACACCAAGGAATAAATGGTTGCTGTTTGGGCCGACAGGCTACACAACGGTGATATGATGATGGTCGCAGTTTGTGCGAGTTGGTCGATTCCTCGATGTGGTCCACCCGGCTTGTCCGTGGTGACCAGGGGATCTTCCGTCGTGAAAATTGCGGTCAACCAGAGAGTTGAGTACGTATTCTGCAGTTCTGGGCGACAATACACGATGCCTGGTGTGTTTGCGTTGCAAGGGATCTTGTAAAACGAGTAGCTGAGGATGCCTACATCGACGCCTTCCATCAGGGCTGACCTAAGCTCTTTTGGGGAACGCCGGACGGCTGTGATAGTATCGGATAGGTGCGAAAGGATTGC